GTGCTTTTTTCTTTATCGAGCTATTCACAACAGCAGTCATTAGGATTTTGAGGCAGTCTGAGGACGATCACAGTATGGCAGATTTTTTAATGTGTGAAATATTCCTCTGTTCCTCATTTTAGTCTGCATACGTTTCTGGAGAGCTGCCCGTGTGTCAGACACGTCCTCAGCGCAGCCTCTGTGGCATGTGGGCCCAGGAGTCAGAGCAGGTAATTGTCCGCCACTTCCAAGTCACCCACAAACCAGAGGAACGCACCTCTTTTTCCCTTGCCAGGCCCCAAGCAGGGGAGTATCAGAGAGAGATACAGGACTTTTGTGCACCCCCTTTTCCACTTAGAAGTCCCACTGCCTTTTTAGGCGAGAGCTTAGTGTATTTTTCAGTCCCTGACAGTGGTTCTGTGTTAGAAAGATGAACAGTTGAAATTTCAGATCTTTAGTCCAGCAGTTGCTTGGCAAGGCCAGGTATCCTGTGAAGAGAACTGGAGAGAAGAGCGGGAGAGGACTCTTCTTTAGGAGCTCAGGTCCTCATAGGCAATAATTTAAACCCACCTCAGTGCAGCATAGTGTTAGCCACACCTTGAAAGATGTCTGTGCATTGAAAGAGACTGGAGAGGTGAAAGTGTTTAATTCTAGGTCAGGGCAAGGAAGATTATTCTCTCTTTGCTTCTCACACAAAGGTCATAGGATACGTGGAAGCGGTACTATATTTGGTCAGATCCATTTGACCATATTAACGTGTTTTCTGTCATTGCTAGCCTTCCTGGAAGGAGTACCCTCTGAGCTTTGATTCCGAAGGGGAGCCGAGTGGAGTCTGGGGGGACTGGATGTGTATACACGCAGCACATCTAGTGAGGGTTTCTGTTCTTGCATTGCACGAGCTCGTGGAAGCAGAGACTAAAATGTGGGCATCAGGATTTATTTTATTTCTTTCCCTAGTGATGATATTGATAGTGAACTATCTTCGTCTGAGTACTGCAGCAATATAGCTGTAGGCGCCATAAAAATGCATAGATGGATGGCTACCAGTTCAATTAAGAGGTCTTAACTCAGCCTCCTATATGCAAACCCTGTCTATTTTAGGTTTAACTTTCTGCTCATAAATTTTTTAAAAACCAAAAGAAACGTTCCTTTTCAAGGTTAGGTTGAAGTCTAAGTTTTCTTAAACACAAAGCCAATCCCTATGTATGTGCGGGGGGGGGGATAACTCTGATACACTGTCTCACAATAGCATCCCCAACCCGTCCTTTGAACACACTTTGAGTGATATTCTCTTCACCGTAACGTACACATCTTCCGGCTTTCAGTCGGGGAACCAGAGAAACCCATTGGCATGGAGAGGGGGCTCAGTTGCAAGGAAGAAACCCAGTTTGATGCAGTCGGGTTTGTTTTCTGAGCTCTCTAATTATTTCAGGTGGTGAGAATCAATCAATCAGATGATAATTGTCAAAAAAGGTAAAAATAAAGTTACCTTGGCTTCTGACAGGTCTTTACTGAGTATATAAAAGAGAAAAGTAAATTAATGGTTAGCCTTTTTTCTAGTGTTTTTAATGCACATGTTTAAGAAAGAGATCTTTCACTTTTATGAATTCTGTATGGGTCTAAGTTAATTTAT